ACAGGAGTGCTGCATTGCTTGACTTTGTGGTCCCGCCTTGGGCTGTCCTGCTCACCTCTGGGGACTCCTTTTCAGGATTTTAGAAAGGCCCCAGGGATCCTATTGGAGCAAAGAGCAGATTTGTGCGTACCCCGCTGGAGCTTTTTCTAGAGGATTTAGTCCTGTTGGTTACCTTGGCTGCACGATGTCTTGTAGTCGAGGTCACTGGTTCTGAAAGTCTTCGAGGTAAGGCTGGAGAGAGGAAGCTCGGCCTGGAGGCCCCCAGGTATAGCTGCACCCAGGCGGTCATGCACACTGGTTCTTCCAGGCTCTCTGCTGAGCTCATCTTCAGGACTGATGGCTAGGGAAGGGTGGTCCTGTAGGAGACCTTGTTCTTTATTAGCTACCAGCCTTGTGTCAAGTTATGTAGTTTCTTTCCAAGCTGTCATTTGTAAATTAGAGGCAAAAATGCCTTATTTATTTTATTTATGTATTTATTTATTTATTTATTTATTTTCACAGCACTGGGGATTGAACTCGGGCCTTTGCACTGAACTATAACCCCAGCCCCTTTCTTATGTTTTATTTTAAGACAAGGTCTCAGTCACTGAGTTGCCCAGGCTGGCCTCTAATTTAGGATCCTCCTGCCTCAGCCTCCCAGAATGCTGAGATTACAGATGCACAGCCTAAAAAACCCTACCTAAAAAAGCCCACCTTAGAATAACAATACCACGGGATGACCCAGCACCTGCCAGGCATCTAACGTCTAGCAAGAGGCAGTCTTGTTCCGTGAGCACGGTGGCTCTTAATTGAAGAAGTTTAGGACTCTGAGGTGTACTGGGGTTCCAGGTAGGGTGCCAGCAAAGAAAAGAGCATCAGGAATTAGAGACCACGCACCCTCTTCGTTAGAATGTTTGAGTATTCTTGATAGTTCTTGGTTCATGGCAGCCTGTTACTTCTCATCTTTGAGATATAAGACCCTTGGAGTACAAATTGCTTGGTGCTGAACCCTTAGGGGCCTCAGGATAAGATTTGGGGAGCAGGCCAGTTAGGAACAAAGGGAGGGGCTCTAGACAGCTGATTGGGCAAGCCTGAGTGACCCCCTAGGAGCACAAGGTCACCGGGCAGGACGCCTGGGAGGCTGATTGGCCGACAGGGTGTGATGTCACTGAGTCCCGGTGGGCGTGAGGCCGGGCTGCCCCGCCCCCAGCTGTGGGCTGGTGTGGGGCTCCAGGCACGTGCCCGGATGTGCCCAGTTGTTACCTCCGCCGTGGGTGTTTTCTAAACTGGCAGCCTTTTAGCAGCCCTCACTGCGCCTGCCTCCTCCCTCTCCTCTGTCTTTCCATTCCGCCTGGTCCTCCGGGCTCCCCAAAGAGCCGAGGAACCGCTGAGCTCAACTCTTCCCGCAGTCTTTGTCCCCGCCGCTCGGTGGGCACCGAGCGGGTGGGGGCAGCCCTGCAGGCGGGGCTCCCGGCAGCCCGAGTGTCCTCGCTGCAGCCTGAGCTGTCCTCTAGGGTGGGGGACGGCGCGACACCACACTGGCCCCTGCTTAATTGTGAGCCGAGGAAGCTCAGCGCCCTCACCGCCTCGCCAGATCCTGCCTCTGAAAAGCTCCCGGGCGCTTTCTCTTCACTCTCGGCCGAGCTCACCCGCCGCTCAGCCTGCGGTTGCCAAGAGGCAAATAGGCCGGCTCTGTTCTAGGGATTCCGGGGTCCTTTCTGAGCCGGGATGCGCTGCCAGCGAGCCCTCCCCCTCCCTCCGTCCCTGCAAGATCGGGAGGGATGGGGGCGAGGCGGAGGGGCGGGGCTTGGGGCGAGATGGCCCTGGGGGGAGACTCAGGGGGACCCCTGGCAGAAATGACCCAGGCACTTTGGGCCGCTACCTTTATTGACAAAAGATGCAGCTGACCCGAGTCCTCAAGCATGGTTTAGTTGGAAGAACTTAGAGACTGTCCCCATCACTGACTGTCCCCTGATCCCTAACTGTGCCCCGGCCCTCCTCCCATGCCCCGGGGAGGAATGGGATTGAGTGGGTCCCGTCCTGCTGCCGGGGGAACCTAGCTGGGGTACAGTGGAGCTCGGTGACTCACCAAAGTGGCCTCACCCAGGGTGGGACCAGGAGAAGAGGCTGCTGGAGGGGAGGGTGATGAACTCTCGGAAGGGAAGACTGGGAGGAGATCTAGATAACCCAGGCAGGGCGAGAAGCTCCCGCAGGAGGGCAGAGACTGGACCAGAACCCTGGCCTCTGGCCTCCTCTGGCTGGGCAGTAACTTTGAGTTCTCCGCTGAGCAGGTTGAGGTGACAAATGAGCCCCAGGAGGACAGATACACTGTCTGCTGCCCCTGGACCATGAGCCCTTGAAGACAAGTTCTCACTGGGACTTCCGGGGCACCCCTGGCTCTCACGGTGGAGATTTAGGGATTGAGAATTTTCAGGGTAGGAGGCAGCCAGAGACATGAAGAGTTGTTGCCACTCAGCCTCACTGTATTTACTATGTGTGACTTAATCTCTTCGAGCCTCAGCTTTCCATTCTGGAAAATGGGGATTGGAAGTCCTAGCTCCTAGCATCACTTCATTAGGTAAACTGAGGTGCTGCCTGGCCCAGCACCAGCTCACAGAAAGCACTCATGCAATAAATCTTCCTTGTTCTTTGCTTACATCCACAGTTACTTATTCAGCTCCTTTCCTGTGGCTGACAAGCTCTCCTTCTAGGTCACTTACTTCCTCTGGGAATTAGTGACCCAGAGGGCCTCGTCCTGTCTCCCAGCTTGTACCCATTTTTCTAGGTGTCACTGCTTACCCACCTGCACCCTGGCAAAGCACCCTGGAGCTTAGACTGGCGTGGCATGTGACTTGGTGGCACAGAAAACCCCACATCAGGACGTGCTGGGCCAACAACGCATCCCAGGGTTAATGCCCAGCTGACTCCACAACTTGGGTGCTGAAACCCTGGGTACCCTCCCCTACATCTTCCTCCCAAGACTGCTCTTCTGCCACTGTCTCCTTCCTGGCAACCAGGCTGCTCCGGGTCTGGGGGCTACTTGCTAAAGGAGAAGCTCCTTTTTCGTAGAAGGGCCCATGCAGCAAGGCCGCTGCTCCCCCTTGCCTACTCCCTCTGTCTCCAGGGATGCTGATTCGATTTCCTCCAATCACCAACATTGCCATCTGCCTGCGGTAATTAAATGGTATTTGAACTGGATCCAGAAATCCCATCGCAGGCAAACACATAGGGCAGGAGGGTGTCCTCAGGAGCTCGTGCACATCCACCCAGCTCTGGGGTTCTCAGAACTGCCGGGGCCGATCCTCACTTTTCCTGGCAGCACCTGGGTGCCCTGGGAGGAGGTGTCTGCCCCAGGTCAACCCTGAGGCTCCTGTCCTGTGTCATGTGTGTGTGCGCCACACTTCTCCTTCCTCAGTTGCTGCCTGTGTTATTTCCGCAGTATGAGACTTTCTCGGGCCCTCTAAGACCTGGTCCCTAGAGGCAGTGTAAGGAAGGGACCGTGGAAAGGGCAGTGTGTCCAGACTACTAAAACTGGCTCCTTACTGTCTGTGATTGGATGACCGCATTTCAGTTTCCTCGGCTATAAATAGGGCGCTAGTAGTAACCTCACCGGTTGTGGTGAAGTCATGCCGGTCTTGTGGCACACACCGTAATCCCAACCCTGTGGAAGGCTGAGGCTGGAAGATGGCAAGTTTGAATCTGGCGTGAGCAATTTAGCAACTTAGCAAGACCCTGTCTCAAAAAGACAAAAGAAGGGCTGGAGATGTAGCTCAGTGTCAAGGCCCTAGGTTCAACTCTCAGTAACTGCCCCCTACACATACACACACGCGCATGTGCGCATGCACACAGAGTGAGTGAGTGTGTCAGGGCTGCAGTTACCGCGAGGCATACAGTAAGAACCCAGCATGTCTGCTGCCATGGTTGGTGTAGAGATAGAAGTCCAGGTAGGATCTTGCTAGGGCGAGGTGGGGGTGGACAGTTACCAGTCTGCAGGTCTGGAGTGGGTGAAGAGGAATCAGCTTTACCCTTCCCAGTTAGAAACCAAATCAGGCGGAGGCTGAGATGCTGATTCCACTTTCAGCTTAATCCAGAAGCCTCTGGATACAGGTGGCAGCCTCCTTGGGCTGGGGCTGAGGGCCTCACGGCCCAAGGATCTCCCCACTTTCTCAGTCAGCTCCTCCTGGCAAAGCACAGGTACCAGGCTCAGGTGAGCACTGAGCCTGTTCTGCAGCTCTGAGGGGGCCTTGGGGGCTGAGCAGCTAGGGCCAGGGACAGGGTGGCAGATTGAAGGCTAGGGTTCTCTGGTCCTTGGGTGGGTGCTGGCTTGGTCCCTCTCCTTTTCTTCTCTTGGTAAATGTTGGCTTAGGGAGAGGAAGCCTGACAAGCGGCTCATTGTAAGCATCCAGCCGATGGGGCTGGCTTGTGTGAACCCGTGGGCATCAGAAACTCACCCCCCTTTACTTTAGGGTGTTTGGGGGGTGCTTTCTGCCAATTCTTGCACATGCATGCTGGCTGACTCATGCTTGGTTGTCATGGGGACCCCGTCAGGGTGATGGCTGCTCAGGAGAGGGAAGGGGGTGGCTGGATGGAGACAGTTCTGCCCATGGCTGGCTCCCTGCTCAGGCTTCATGTCACTTTCCCTGCCTTGTACAGGGGAGACTGCCAGGATCTTGGCTGTGGGCCCAACCTGTGGCTGACTAGTGTCCCCTCTGCAGGTTCGTGTTGCTCACAAAGCTTTTTTCACTTGACCTGGGCTGCCAGAGTTATGCCTGGTCTGGCCCTGGAGCTCCCGGGAGGGAGCCAGAGCTTGTGCCTGCGAATATCCACCAGGCTGGAGGACCCTTTGTCTTAGTCACTTTTCCGTCGCTGAGACACAATCCCTGACATCTGCAACTTCGAAGAGGAGAGGTTTGTTTTGGCTCAGTGTGTAGAGGTTGCAGTTCATTGTCAGCTGGCTCCAGTCCAGGAAGGGCAGCAGGAAGGGCAGCAGGAAGGGCCTGCGAAGGAAAGTCACTCGCATCATGGCAGCAAGACGCAGAGTGAAGGGAGAAGCTGCGGGAAAGGCAGAACCCCCTGGCCATGCCCCTAGTGACCCAGCTCTTCCAACCAGTGCCCCCTCTGACAACACATCCAGCCATAAACTCGTTGGTGGACTGACCCACCCGTGACGATAGTGTCCCCCTAATGCAATCACTCCCCCAAGCCTGCCTATGATCACACGAGGCTTCGGCGGGACATCTGATACTATGAACCCTAACGCTTGCATCTGCCCAAACCTTGGCAGAAGCTCTCACCTCCTCCAGAACTTAGCCCTGGCTCTGGAAATGTGATTTAGCATGTGGCTAAATCATTTAGCACCAGGCCTGCCCCTGTCTTCCCCACCTTGGCCCTGAGCTCTGTCTCCCCAGAAGTGGGTGAGCTGTCTTCTCCCCTTGTCCACAGGAGGGCTCCTGGTCTAGCCCGGAGTATGTGCTTTCAGTCACATGGACCTGGGCTTGGCCATGTCACTTTCCATCGTGCAACCTTGGACAAGTCATTTAAACTTTCTCAGCCTCACATTTCTCAACCTGTAAAATCAGGCAAACAGTAGGTACCTCACGGGTTGGTAGTGAAGATTAATTAATTCATTTCTATAAAATACTTTCAACATGGCTTCAAGATATACTGAGTACGCTGTAAACATTACAACTGCTGGTTTTGGGATGTTTGTGTTACCATTACTGAATTACCAAAGCTCCTAACTTCCTTCCTCTCCCAGCTGGTGGGGAAGTGGAAGGTGGTAGGTAACGTGGGGGAGGAGGACCTGACCCAAGGTTCTTCCTATCCTGGCAGGATCCGGCCCCAGCTGTCGAAGGAGAAGATTGAGGGCTGTCACATCTGTACCTCTGTCACCCCAGGGGAGCCCCAAGTCCTGCTGGGGAAGGATAAGGCCTTCACCTATGACTTTGTTTTCGACTTGGACACATGGCAGGAACAGATCTATACAACCTGCGTGAGCAAGCTCATTGAGGGCTGCTTCGAGGGCTACAATGCCACAGTGCTGGCCTACGGGCAGGTAAGCCCCCAACTCCCCCACCAGGGGCTACCTGTCTCAGATTTCCCATCTGTGGCGGAGACAGCCCTGCCCCCAGAGCAGGTGAGACACAGCTGTGTAGTTTTGTCTGTTGTCCGAGGGTGCTCCTGGGCTCCTGGATAACCGAGGGCAGCTGTCATCAGAGACTCCCGCTGGGTGTGGAAGGGGAGCCAGGTTGCAGGTAGATGGGTGAGAGGATTTGGCTAGGTGCAGCCTGGCTGGTGGCCCGGGAGGGTGCTGGGTAACACCTTCCCTCTTTCTTTGTCGATGCAGACGGGGGCTGGGAAGACGTACACTATGGGCACTGGCTTTGACATGGCGACCTCGGAGGAGGAGCAAGGCATCATTCCGAGAGCCATTGCACATCTCTTCAGGGGCATCGCTGAGCGCAAGCAGCGGGCACAGGAGCAGGGTGTAGCTGGGCCAGAGTTCAAAGTCAGCGCTCAGTTCTTGGAGGTACTGTGGTCTGTAGGCTGGCCAGGAGGGAGGCGTATTGGGTGTCATAGATGCTGGACCCTCTTCCAGTGCAGGAGAATGAGGCTCCCTGGGGAGCCATGGGGGCTCTGGGGCTACCTACAGGTGAGTTCCCCAATGCTGGAAGTATCCAAGCAAGGAAGACCACTTGGTGGGACTAAAGGGTTTCCTGTATCGCACAGGGCTGGAATTGATGCCCTGTAAGATCTCCTTGAACCCTGACTGACTCTAGCGCTGACGCTTGTGACCTTGAGCATGTCATCTCACCTCTCCGAGTGAAGGGTCGGTGAGGATGGCTTGGAAGCATATGCCTGGCACTGGGCGAGAGCTCTAGTTTTCTCCCTGCCTCCTGGCCTTCTCTGGGTGCCTCCTCTGCCTCCAAGCGGCCTGCTTGTCCCTTTCTGCCTGAGATGCTCCCTGGCCCTGTGAGGCTTCTCAGACCACAGCACAGAAAAGTCCTCCAGGAGGGGCCTTCTTTAGCCTCTGATCCTGCCTGTCTCTAGGAGAGTGTCAGCCTGGCCCTGTGGCACCTGGGCGCTTTTGGGGTGAAGGAATGGGTCTCTGAGCTTCTGACACCAGCTGTGCTGAGCCCCAGGCCAGTAACGCCAGCGGTAGCAGCTCCCTTTTTTGAAGGGAGCTCTTAGAGGCCTTTCTGGGGTGCCAAGTAGACCTTTTCTCACGAGCTTGACCGGGCTGCTCCTCTGGGACTCTTGGCTAGACAGCTTCAGTTCTCAACATCTATAGGTTGGGAGCACCCTAGCCTCTCACCCAACCCCTGTTCTCTGACTGTACCCTGGTTGTCCTTGGAAGGAGGGATGGATGTGGCCTCAGCCCTGCCTTCCCCTTTGGGGACCAGTATTTTAGGCTCTGGAGCTTTTCTGTGTCCTTCTGGATTTCTGCTCCTGATAGACTACCTGCTTCTCTGTGTGTGCACGTGCGTGTCCTGCTCCTTGAGAATCGCTGTAGGCTTTTCTTTCACAGCTCTTTATTTTCTTCTTCTCCATCCTGTTCCCACAGAGAGCCCTCGAAAACAGGGGAGCCCTTAAACAGTCCGTACCACAGGGTGGCGACAAGGGGTTAAACAATACAAGTATGTCTGACCCAACGTAGGCAGATACCGTGGCCCCCCCATCCTCACCGTCTCTTCCTTTTGTTGCCTCTTCCACTTCCTGTGGGATATTTCGGTCCCTTTAATGCCATCAAAGCTTTGGATGGCTGAGGGCTGCAGTTCCCCCTCTCGTCTGCCTCAGGAGCTTCTCTTGCTGTCCCCTTCCCTTTGCCTTCTCTCCAGCCCCAGCTCCCTGTCTGCTGGCCATCCCAGCGCTTTAGCAGGTGAGTTTCCCCGTCCTCAGTTCCATTCACAGGAATCTCTTCGGCTGAGCCTGAGGTAGTGAGGCCACTCCTGGCCAGGTCGGCTCCCACATGGTCTTCTCAGGAGGCTCGACGCGGTGGCCTCAATGCTCCCCTCTCCTTCTGAGCACAGGGTACAGCCATGTTCCTCTCTCTGGGCAGCTGTCTTGACCTCAATCCCAGGGACATCAGGATTAGGGTGTGACTCCCTGGTTTCCACTGAGTTCTCCCTCTGCCCCTCTTCCTTTGGAATCACACCCTCGCCTCCTCTTTCCCAGTTACATAAGATCTGCCAAAATCGTGGTCTTCCTCGTCTCTGACATCCAGGACCTTCATGTCTTTGTCCCCTTTAGTCCACTGGGACTGAGAGCTGCTAGATTCTGGTTCCTTGGGGAAAGAAGCAACAGTGCACAGCCAGGACCCAGCGATTGCTCCTTCCCGTCCAGGAAGAGGAGCCTGGAATTCAGAACCCAGAGGGGAATACGCTGGGCGAGCTAATCTCCCAGGTGTCAGTTTCCACTTCTGCAAAGTGGAGATGGTTTCTAAACACAAGAAAGCCCCTTTGGGCCCTCTACTGTGTGCCACACGAACCCAGCCACTGTTTCCTCCTGGCACAGCTCTACAACGAGGAGATCCTTGACCTGTTCGATAGCACGCGTGACACTGACACCCGCCACCGCAGGTCCAACATCAAGATCCACGAGGACGCCAACGGTGGCATCTGCACCACAGGCGTCACTGCTCGTCTCATCCACTCGCAGGAGGAGGTGAGCAGCCCCTGGAGGTCCAGGGCAGGCAGGTCTTTCCCCAGGAAGACCAGAGCTGGCAGCACAGGGGCCCTGAGTTCGCACATCTGGTTCTGTCCCCAGCTGATCCAGTGCCTGAAGCAGGGCGCCCTGTCGCGCACCACGGCCAGCACCCAAATGAACGTGCAGAGCTCCCGCTCCCACGCCATCTTCACCATCCACCTGTGCCAGATGCGCCTGTGTGCCCAGCCCAACCTGGTGAGGAGCCCTCGGGATGCAGGAGCTGCGTGCCACAGGGGAATCCAGGGACAGGGAGAGCGAGATGAGAGCCAGCAAACCAGTCAGGGTTTGCCTCTGCCACTTGTTGATTTTTCCTTTTCTTTTTTCTTGAGCTTCATTTACTCATCTATGCAGTGGGGTCACAACGCCTCTGTTGTGTTTCAGAGATGGGATGGGAGCCAGGTGTGTGCAGGGACTGGGTTCGCGTCTGATGAGCTGTATGTGCAAAGGCCCAAGGCACTGTGCCATTCTGTGGGGAGATCAATCCGGAGCCCAGAGCCAGCGAGGTGGGGCACGGGCTGGGGAGTCAGATGGTGCCTTCCGCTGCAGGTGAATGAGGCGGTGACCGGCCTTCCAGAGGGTGCAGCTCCTCCAAGCGAGTATGAGACTCTCACAGCCAAGTTTCACTTTGTGGACCTGGCTGGCTCAGAACGCTTGAAGCGGACAGGGGCCACTGGCGAGCGGGCCAAGGAGGGCATCTCCATCAACTGTGGCCTGGTAGGCACATGCAGGGTCACCAGTCCCAGCAGTCAGAACAGCCCGGGTTCAGATCCCTCCACGGCTGTGACCCCGTGGCTGCCCAGTCTTTTCTGGGCCTCTTACCAGCTGCTGCCCAGGGCACCCACAGTCATCACCTGTAGGCCTCTAGGCCTTCACTCTCAGCCCTCACCCTTGCCTCAGCTCCCTAATTTTACCAGTTTGTCAGTTCTGCCCATAGACCCGACCAGGAGCCTAAGGATGGCTGGGGCCAGCTAGACAGGTGACTGCTTGGGGATGCATTGTGCGGGCCCCTTGCTCCCTGAGGGACTGTTGAGCTGCAGCCTGTCTCCCGCAGCTGGCCTTGGGCAATGTCATCAGCGCCCTGGGGGACCAGAGCAAGAAGGTGGTGCACGTGCCCTACAGGGACTCCAAGCTCACTAGGCTCCTCCAGGACTCTCTGGGGGGCAACAGGTAACATGCAGGGGAGATCGGGGGAGACAGGGAGGTTGCTGGGGATTCCTGCTTGAGGTTGGGGTCCCTGATGGTCCTGTGGAGGAAGGGGGATGGGGAGGAGGAGGAGGAGAAAGAGGAGGAGCAGGAGGAAGAGTCCTTCCCACTCTGGGCTGCAGGCACCTTGAGATGCTCTGTGACCTTTGGCCAATTATGTTCAGAATCAGTGCCCTTATCTGCAAGGCTGGGAGAGCTATTCCCAAAGGAAGTCCCACTACCCAGATGAGACAACAGATGGGAAATAGTAGAAAAAGAGAGGCCAGGGCAGATCCTCATCTTCAAGTGGAGGATCTGCAGTTAGGCATCCTTGCCTTATTAGCCACCTTCATGGGGCTGCCCCCTCACAGTGGAAACTCTGAGCCAGCTGGCCCAGAGCCTTATGCCCCAGGTTCCACTCTCCTGAATGCCCAGATCCTTCAGGTCTAAGGTAGTGAGGTGCAGGGGCTAGGAGTGCAACCTCTGCTCCAAGGTGGTACTTCTGGGGGTGGCCGAGTTCCTGGCCCTCACCCAGCCTGATCACACATCCAGCCAGACCATCATGATCGCCTGTGTGAGCCCCTCGGATCGGGACTTCATGGAGACGCTCAATACACTCAAATATGCCAATCGGACTCGCAACATCAAGAACAAGGTAGTGGTGAACCAGGACAAGACCAGCCAGCAGATCAGCGCGCTGAGGGCCGAGATTGCGCGCCTGCAGATGGAGCTGATGGAGTACAAGGCGGTGAGTGCCTCCCAGCCCCACCCCGCACTCTCCCTCAGGGCCTTCGTGCCCTGAAACCGTGCTGCCAGCTCCACCTGAATTCCCAGCGTGCCTCCTGCCCACTCCTCTCCTCTGAGCATCGCTGTGGGCCTCACCAGGTGCATCTGGCACAGTCTGAGTGCTCCAGGCTTTAGAACAATACCAAGTCTGAGGCAGGGGAGCACCTTGGCTTTGTTATGTGGATAGCATGACCAAGGCAGAGACTGTCCAGGGTGTTTTTCTGCCCACTGGACAGGTGAGATCACTGCACTAGAACAGCATAGTTGACAGTGGGGATACAGGAATAGGCCCTCGTGCTGCAGGACAGAGAAGAGAGTGGTTCCTCCTCATGCAGGTGACCAGAAAGGGTCTCGTAGAGGAAACCTTTTGAACAAATGAGGTATCATCAAAAAGAGATGCACAGAGGCAGGTATGGTGGTGCATGCCTGTAAATCTGGCACTTGTGGGTAGGAGAATCACAAGTTCAAACCCCTCCTGGGCAATTTAGCAGCTTAAACACATCCTTTAAAAAGGGCTGGGAATACAGCTCAGTGCAAGGCTCTGGGTTCAACCCCCAGTACCACACACACACACACACACACACACACGCACGCACGCACGCACACACACACACACACGCACACGCACATACACACACACACACAAAGTAGGCAAGCATTCTAGGTAAAGAACGAGCCTTACATAATGGAATAGAAATGAGAATGTATGCTTTGGGGGGAAATATCTAATTCTGTGTGACCAAAAGCTGAGGTTACCAGTTGGTGGCCTGTGGCTGGAATCTGGCACACAGATGGTTTCACATTGGCTTGTGCTTGTTTCAAGAGAATGCAACTTAGTGGTCAGCCTTTCTGAAAACGTCCTGAGTCTTATAGTTTCCGCTTTGCTGGAAAACCGTGAAGCTCTAACAAATGGCACGAAGTTGACTGGAGTCACTGGGTCGCTGGCTCCATAAGACCAAGCCTGTGACTGTTAGCTCAGTCTCCCCCACACCCTGCTGTCCTACGCCCCAACTGACTCATTTCTGTTAGCTTCCTGCCCAGGCAGGGTCTGTCCCTTGGATTAGCCTGTGTGGAGAGAGGAATATGCCCGTGGGAAAGTAGGCCAGGTAAGACGGTAGGGTGACTCTGTCGTCATGGGGGAGCTGTGGTGTGTTAGGAAACTGGGGGCCAGAGTCTGTGCTGCCGTGTCCGGGAAGAGGCCAGGCCCAGCACAGCGGAGAGCACATCCCTAGGAGTTTCTGCCCCTGACTGCTCCCCGCCCACCCTTCCCAGGGCAAGCGGGTGATCGGGGAGGACGGAGCCGAGGGCTACAGCGACCTGTACCGGGAGAACGCCATGCTGCAGAAGGAGAACGGGGCGCTGCGGCTGCGGGTGAAGGCCATGCAGGAGGCCATCGACGCCATCAACAGCCGCGTCACCCATCTCATGAGCCAGGAGGCCAACCTGCTTCTGGCCAAGGCTGGTGGGTCGGGGTGCATCATGGGCTAGGTTCCCCCTCTCCCCATCTGCCCCCCATCAATTCACTGAAGTATTTTTTTCCAGCTGATTTTACAATTTTTAAAAATTTTATTATTTATTTACTTATTTATTGGTGTTGGGGACTGAACTTGGGACCTCGCAATTGCCAGGCAGACGGCGGAACCACTGAGCTAAATCCCTGGCCCAGATTTTACAATTTTTGATGACATGAGCGATACACGAACACAACCTTGTTAAACATGCCAGCAGTACATCAGATGTAAAGCGAAGGGTTAAATTGCCCCTGCCAAACTCTTTACCCACATTGTCTCTGCTTCTCAGGAGGACTCATCATGAGCATCTGGATGTGTATTTTTCATACCTTTATCAGCCTATTTGTTTCAAGTATAAATATATGCACACATGTACGTATCCATGTGTGTGACTGTTTATGGCTTTTTCTGTATAAGAGATCTTATGTATCATTGACTCCTCTTTTCCCCTTTGGCATTATGTCTTATAAATCCCTCTATTAAAACCCACTTAACTTTTTAAACTGCTGCATAATGTTCCATATGTGATGATGAATAATTTATTATAGCAGCCCTCTGTTGATGGACATTTATATTCTTTCCAGTTTCTCCCCATTACCAGCAGAACTCTTGTATATCTGGACACATGTGCAAGGATTTCCTTGATACAGGTTCCCTTATAGAACTGTGTGAGCTGCCCTACTAGAGGTAGATTCAGGGCCATGAGTCTTAAAGCCAAAGATCCTTACTGTTACACATTTTCCTTACCTCACCTTCCGGCTGCCTCCCCTCTCCAGGTGATGGCAATGAGGCCATCGGGGCTCTGATCCAGAACTACATCCGGGAGATCGAGGAGCTGCGGTGAGTGAGCCCCAGCGGTGTGAGCAGGCTGGGGCCCTTGGCCGGGCCAGGCTGGGGACAATGTCGACTCACCCCCACCCGGCTCTTCCCACGCAGGACAAAGCTCCTGGAGAGCGAAGCCATGAATGAGTCCCTCCGGCGCAGCCTGTCCCGGGCCTCCGCTCGGAGCCCCTACTCCCTGGGAACCTCTCCGGCTGGCCCAGCCTTTGGGGGCAGCCCGGTCAGTTCCATGGAGGATGCTTCTGAGGTGATCCGCAGGGCCAGGCAGGACCTGGAGCGGCTAAAGAAGAAGGAGGTCAGGCAGCGCAGGAAGAGGTGAGTGCAGCGCTCGCCTCCACAGTGGCGCTCACAGGTGTCCCCCGCTCCTCCCCTGGATTCAGGAAGGACCATCCCCCAACCTCGCCTGTGTTCGGGGCTCCCCCAGTACCCCTGCGGAAGTCACGGAGCCTTTTTGCAGAGACCCCCCCCTTAATACTCACCCACACACCTTCTCTAGTGCTGCACTGTTTCCTCCAGCGTCAAGTGGGGCGGTGCCTACAGGGGTTAGCTGAGTTCTCCACAGAGCGGGAGCCTAGCCTGTCTCTTCTCTGCTCCTGCTGCCCCCCTGCCTGCCTCGCAGTGGGACTGGTCCCCTCACCTGGCCTCTCCTTCTCTCTATCAACAGCCCAGAGAAGGAAGCCTTCAAAAAGAGAGCCAAACTCCAACAGGAAAACAGCGAGGAGACTGACGAGAACGAGGCTGAGGAGGTGAGGACACCCCCAACCACCTCACCGTGTGCCGACCCGCTCCTGTCCGCGTCTCTCACATGGTTGAGTGGGGAGGGTCTGCCCCATCGTCCTCGGATGGCCGAGTAACTCAGACTGGTTGCCGTGGTTCTCTCCATCCCTCGGGCCCCCCTTCATCCTAAACAGATGGTGTGGAAAGGAGACCCCTTCAGGGGCTGGGTTAGGGCACTGGGGGGCAGCTACTCCTCCCACAGGGTGTGGCCTCTCCCCTCCTGACACACCCGGGAGACACACCTGCCTGGTCTCCGCCTCTGGGCTCCCCTCATTGGAGGCCAAGCCCAGCCCTGATATCCCTGGTGCCCAGGAGGAGGAGGAGCGAGATGAGAGTGGCTGCGAGGAGGAGGAAGGACGTGAGGATGAAGACGAGGACTCGGGCAGTGAGGAGAGCCTGGTAGACTCGGACTCCGACCCGGAGGAGAAGGGTGCGTGGGCCTGGGCGGGGGGAAAGAGCCGCCTGTGGCAGCTGACCAGGGTGGGACTGGCGGTCAGCACCCAGAGAGAGTTCAGTGCCCTTGGGTGGGGTCAAGCCCGCCTGAGTTCCTGGACGTAGCAGGTGTACAGGGCCCAGAGCCCCTAGGCCCAGCACAGTGGTGTGACTCTCTTAATGGCAGTGCGTCCCTACTGAGAGCTTATACGCCTGCCCTTCACGTGGCGTGGTGCTTTGGGTCCTCACTCTGCCCTACACTTAGGCACTGGCTTTCCCCTGTGCCACCCGTGAACGTGCCCAGAGAGGTTCACAGCTCTCCCTGGTTTAGTCAGTGCAGAGCAGGGCACCGAACGCAGGCCTGGCTGATGCCGAGATCCAGCCCCTAAGGGAGGGCGCTGTCCCTTCTGCCGGCTGTGGTCCGAGTGCTCCCAGTCACTTCACCGTCCCCCACTCCAGCAGGGTCCCATGTCAGCTGCGACAGGCAGATGTTGGCCTCTGGGACCAGCCGTGTGGGAAGGATGTTTAGACACCTCCAGTCCCAGGTTCTGGGATCTGCCTTGCTTTGGTGTCGCCCCACCAGGCAGCCTTTTATCCTGCATGGGATTTCCCATTTCACCCACCTCTGGTCACCAGTCGATCCCAGTTGACCTGGAAAATCCCCTCTTCCCCGGAGTGGCACCTGCCTGAGCCTGGCTCTTCCCGACTCTTAGAGGTGAACTTCCAGGCGGACCTGGCCGACCTGACCTGTGAGATTGAGATCAAGCAAAAGCTGATCGACGAGCTAGAGAACAGCCAGCGGCGGCTGCAGACCCTCAAGCACCAGTACGAGGAGAAGCTGATCCTGCTGCAGAACAAGATCCGCGACACGCAGCTGGAGCGCGACCGTGTGCTGCACAACCTCAGTGAGCCCCTGACCCCCACCTTTCCCGCGTCCTCCTCTGCCAGAGCACACGCAGCAGCTGGCCCCATGTCCTCCTTGACAGCCAGATCAGCAGGTTGAGGCCCAGCAGGGTGGATGTCTGGATACCCCACGCCCCGTGCCCAGTGCCCAGGATCTGCCTTGCTTTTCTGGGGCTACTTTTCAGATGTGTTGCCCCACCTGGCAGTGTGTTGGGGGGTGCAGCTGCCCTTCTGTTCTGGGGACTTCTGGCCCTTCTACTGTGGGCTCTTTGGCTCACAGTTGAAAGTTCTTATGTCTAGCCCTAGTTGCTCTGCTACATTTTAGTTTTGTCTCTTTTTTACTCTCATCTGATGTAGTCGAATCCTTTAGTCCTTTATACACATAGGCATATGAATGTGACTCCTCCCAGCCTTTTCTTCTGCGCCCAATTTCCCCACCTCCTTCTTACATCTGACCTCCTCGGATTGCCCCTCGGCCCATGCATCCTATTATTCATTTGCTAATTCCTTCATCCACTTATTCAGCAAACATTTGTTGAGTGCATCTGTGGAGCCTCTAGATGCGGAAGATGTTGGTGTGTGCAAAATCGCTGCTCTCAGGGAGTGCAGATGGTAGAGGGGAGAGGCAGAAAACTCAGTAGGACCTCTAGCATGTCAGATGAGAACAAGTATTATTTTTCACAGCAGGATGGATACAGAGTCTGGGGACTAGTTAGGGGTCTTTTAAGGGATGGTTGGGAAAGACTTCACAGGGAAGGTGACTTTTGAGCAAAAACTTGCAGGTGAGACAGTGCTAAGGCAGATCGAGCAACGGGAAGCAGGTGTGTCCCTGGCATGATGGTGGAATGATAGGGGCCAGAATGGCACAGATCATGTCAGTCACAGGAAAGGCTTTGCCGTATAGTCCGAGGGAGATGAGCAGGTGTAGAATTTTGAGAGGAGTATGTGATGGAAAATTTTAAAACATTTTAGAAACATCATTCTGGCTGGTGTGTAGGGGAGCCAAAGTGGACGCTGGTGATCACTTAGGAACCGTTGTAAAGATCCCAGGAGTGGTGGATGGGATGTAGTGAGAAGTGGTTGGGTTCTGAGTATTCTGCAGGTTGAGCTAAAAGGTTTTGTTGATGCCTGGGTGGGGAAATGAAGGAGGCAGGAGCCAATAATGTCTCAGACTATGAAGAGGTGATGATGTTACCTGAGCTGAGGGCTGAGGGTGGATCAGGAGGTGGTTTGTACCTGTTCCATCTGACACATCTCTTGGCACCTTGGGTGGAAGAGGCTGGGATGGAGAATCAGTTTATTCCTTCTGCCACAGCCTACATCACTATCTTCTCTTGCTAACTTTTCCCCTTTCCACTGGCCCTAGCCATTTCCTCCAACACCGGATCATGGGTCAGAACCCAGCCAGCATGAGTAGGCTGCGGGACCTTCATGGAAAGCTGGGGACCAGGGACTCCGAGATCTCAAGATGGAGCACCCCCTCATCGCTCCAGTAGAAACACAGGCCCAGGGAGGGGTGTCTTGCTCAAGGTCACACTGAGATTAGAACCCGGGCCGCCTTCCTTCCCCTTTGCTGAGCCCACACTTAGCAGGAACGCTCAGGCACACTGCAGTGACGGTGCCTCTTGCTTCTGGCAGGCACCATGGAATGCTACACGGAGGAGAAGGCCAACAAGATCAAGGCAGATTATGAGAAGAGGCTGCGGGAGATGAACCGGGACCTGCAGAAGCTACAGGCCGCGCAGAAGGAACACGCCCGGCTGCTCAAGAACCAGTCACGTTATGAGAGGGAGCTGAAGAAGCTGCAGGCTGAGGTGGCTGAGATGAAGAAGGCCAAGGTAGGGTGTGAGGGTGTGAGGAGCAGGCATCTTAGAACCCACTTTCCATGTCTAAAATAATCAGTGCTGTCAAAGGTGGACTTTTTTTTTTTTTTTTGGTACTGGGTATT